TTATTTTGATTAATAATAATTATTTTTTATTTTGAAAATAATAAAATTAATGTTTATTTTAATTATAAATATTATGTGTTAAATTTTTATTGCTTTATTTTATAAAAAGCAAATTTTTTTAATTTAAAACTTTATATATTTTTAAAAAAATACCAAAATTATTATTTAATCGTTATTTCTTATCATATTTCTTATCGTATATTTTTTTTGTATTAATCTTTTGGTATTCGGTAATCATATTGTGTCATAACTAATTCTGAATCGAATCACGTTAGACCTTATTAGGAAAAAACTCTCTTAATACCTGTTTCTCCATTTATAAAGCTCAAAGTCGAAATCTTATTTAAAAAAAATCAAACTTCTTCCACTCCAACCAATAGATTGTTGGTTGTCGTATGCTTTATGGCATGGGAAAGACAAATCTTAAAAAAAAAAAAAAAAAAAAAAAAAGAGTAACCGTTGTTCTAACATCAATGCAATTAAAAAAACAAACAAGCACTTTCTGATAATGATTAATGAATATTTAGTCAAAAGATTAGGTAATGTTTGATTAAATTAAATTAAAATTTTAAGAATGTGAATTGGGTGGCTGTTGCTCCAAGTAAACGGCAAGCATATGTAGCTGTAACCCAACATCTAACCATATACATAACAGAAGGTGACGTTTTTCCTAATTTTAAAATTGTCATTTAAAAATATTTTAATAAAAATATACTGTACAGAACAAAAAGTAACAAATTCTGTGTTTTCTGAAAATGAATGTTTTTCTATTACCTATTTTCAAAAAAAAAAAAAATGAATGTTTTTCTTAACACAATATTCAGAGCCACCGAAAGGGCCATTTCTTCATGTCACGTAATGAAATGACATAGACAAATAAAAAAATGGCACTTTTTAGAATAAAAGGACGTGAAAGAATCTATCTATTTATTTATAAATTTTATAAATTATATTTATATAAAATTTTAATTATTTATTTTTTTATTTTTAAATTAAATTTTTTTTATTTTTGTTATATTTATTAAAAATAATTATTTTTATTTAAAAATTTATTATAAGTTTTAATTATTGAGAATAAAAAATAAATAATTAATATTTTATTTAAATATGATGTATAAAATTTATATATAAATAATTTTTTATTTATAATTATTGAATTTTTCTTTTATTATAGATAATAAAAAATTTCTAAAACTTAAATTAAGAAGAATAATTCAAGAATAAACTTTTATATTATTTTTTTATATAATTTAATATATTATTTAAATAAATAATTTTTTATTTATATAAAATTTATAATATTAAATATATCTATTTATTTAATAATATGTAAAAATTATTAACAATTACTAATCAATTAACTTCAACCTTACACTTGACCATTCAAATCAACTGACATCTATAAGCTTGAGATGCATTCTGTTTTTAACGAGTGGTTTCGAGAGGCTGCCCTGAGAATTTGTTAAAAAAAAAAAAATTGACTCCAACCTTGAGTTATAGACACGCAACCCAAATCATCTCCGAGTAGTACAAAATTATGGTCCTAAATATCCGATCTTTTTGGCGATTATTCCGCTCTCCATCTCAGCA